AAAACTTATGTTGCACCCAGTAAAGGTGCTAAGTAGCACCTGTGTTTTTCCAGTGTGTAAATTACCAGGTGGATGACTCACGCCGCGCACTTTTGTATAAATACTGCGAGGAAGCAACAGGCAACCCACCCCGTGCTGTACAGCATAAGTACGAAAGTACGCGGCGTGAGTCAAACACCTAGTACAATTGTGGACCTTGCCGTATTAAAAACATATAGTGGGATAAAACTCCTAGTATTTCATATTCACTTCATTAGTGTTTTAGTATCAGTTTTAATGACATCAAACTGACTGTGCCAAATTTGATTCTCTTTCATTACCTTTTGCTCTTTTGTTGTTACTATTTCACTGTGTAGTATTCAATTTGATGTTCACAACATTTTTATAAATTGATGTTATGATTTGGTACTGTTAGTATAATTTTCATTTTTTTTAAAGACAAGTGTATCAATTCCAAATAATTGTAAATATATTTATAATACCGGTGCTGTAGTTAATGGTAGAAAATACATGACAGGCTTCGAAAACGAAAGAGAGTAATTTATGTCTAGAAAGCTAGCTTTAAGAATTCTGTTTTCTTTTGTACTGTTTTTTGTTAAATGAAGCAGTATTTGTTATTTTCTTAATAGGTAGTTTTGTATATAGATTGAGATCTTGTCTTGAATGATATTGTAGTTTTGCCTTGCTTTCCTTTTGTAAATAATTCCCTTCATTAACTTATTTCATGTTGTAGAAAAAGATCAAACTGCGGCAATTAATTTAGTATATATTTATATTGAACAGTCGACGTGTTTCGTCCCCCCGTTCCCTGCAAGTTTGACAATACCCTTAAAATTTGTTGCCTTTCCCTATGTATTTTCCAAGACTCTTTGGTTTTATATCCAAGGCCGAAAAATATTCTGAAATTGTTTTGTCATGAACATGTGATATTCAAATAAAACAGCTTAGAACTTTCAACTGTCTTTATTTCAATCACCTAGGGTAATAAATGGGATCTTGTTCAAAGTTCGACAAAAACGACTGAAAACCCTGCCAAAATTGCAACCCCTATACAGGGTGGTCCACAGACCCCTTTCTTTATTTTGATTATACTGTACCGCATGCGTACGTCCGTGTGGGAGCATCAGGATGCGAAACAGAATGGGAGTCAGAGGGATCTATGGCCCTTGCCCATAGGCTCGGATTTCGGGGGCCGGGGGACAAACGCTCCTCCCCTTCCTGTGGTCTCAAGAGAGCCGCCTGAATGGGGGGAAAATTTGCGCAACAAACCCCCTCAATTCAGGCAACCTACAGTGCATCCCCCGCCAGACCTAAATCCCTTAATCCCCGCCTGCTCGGGTGCGAGCTTCCCACTCCCATTCCCGCTTTCGGGCGCCATGTACCATGTAGGTATTCCGATGCTCGCTCGCTGCTAGTGTAGGAAGATTGATTGGCCTTATACAAACTCAGAAGGCGCTTCACGTGGTGTGTATTAGGGTGCCCCTACAATGTATATTCCCCAAGTTGACGCGAGAGAACAACGGCCCCTTCCCTTGCCCTTGCCCTCCTTGCTCGGACCTGTCCGCGGCCTTCGGCCACAGGGCGGGCCGCCGTCTGCACACGGCTGCTTGGCGGGTCGGCCTACCCATCGCATTGCAGGCGCCATACGTAAAGATATCCTGACCGTCTCATCGGGAAGCGTTCAATGCTAAACACACAACACACTACAGCACAGCAGCATTGTGAACGGTGTGAACATAAAACATGGAAAGTACACTTTTGTGTAGTGTAGTTTGTGGGGGTGGGGGGGTGGCTGTTCAAACATGTGACACCAGAACACCAAATCCACCAAGTACTGAGGAATCCCTTTTATTTCTAATTTTCATTTTCCTCCCTCTCCTTCTCCTTCTCCTTCTCCTTCTCCTTCTCCTTCTCCTTCTCCTTCTCCTTCTCCTTCTCCTTCTCC